CACATTCCTACAATCCCCCTGCTCCACAATCCCACATTCCTACAATCTCTCTGAGCCACTGCAGGGAAATTAAAATAAAAAAAATGAGGAACCTGTGATAAGGTCAGAGTTAGAACCAATCAGAACTTGAGCTTTTCCTCGTGCCCCCCTGGGGTTCGTTTAGCTCAGTTGGCTGGACAGCACGGTTGTGATGTAGAGTGACACTAACAGTGTGGGTTCAATACTCGCACTGGCCGAGATGATGACGAAGGCCTCTCCTTCTCACCCTGAGGTGTGGCACCACACAGGTTAGCCATGGGTTTAATAGCCAGCACTGTACCCGCTGAATTGTGAATTCAACTGGAGCTAGTGTTGGTGACCATGAAAACCGTCATTAACCGTTGGCATTGTCCTTATTCCCATCCTTTAGGGAAGGAAACTGCCATCCCTACCTGGTCTGGCCTACACGTGACTCCAGACCCACAGCAATGCGGCTGACTCCCAATTGCCCTCGGAAATAGCTAAGCAAGCCACTCAAGAGGCAATTAGGGACAGGCAAGGGGTGGCCTAGCTTGCAATGAGAAGGGAGGCAATGGCCTTGTGGTATTATTGCTGGGCCATTAATCCAGGCACCCAGATAATGTTCTAGGGACCTGGGTTCAAATCCTGCCGTGGCAGCTGGTGGAATTTGAATTCAATAAAAGTCTGGAATTAAGAATCTAATGAATCCATTGTTGATTGCCAGAAAATCCCATCTGGTTCACTAATGCCCTTTAGGGAAGGAAACTGCCATCCTTACCTGGTCTGGTCTACATGTGACTCCAGACCCACTGCAATGTGGCTGACTCTCAACTGCCCTCTGGGCAATTAGAGATGGGCAATAAATGCTGCCTGGCCAGCAACGCCCTCATCCCGTGAATGAATTTTTTTAAAAAGTCCACATCCTGTGAACAAACATGCTCATTACCATCATTAACAACCTGAAATCCAACATTGCAACAGGTGTTGAAGACATTAGGAGATTTTGGGTGACCTTATTTCAGATCCCTTTGCTGCAACCATCTCACAGAGCTCTGGTGAGAAACTGGCATTATTGATTTTATTTTTAACTGATTTATTTATTGTCACATGCATTTTGTTACAAAATACAGTGGAAAGTATTGTATGGTGTTGCCACTCTCCAGCAACATTTTAAAACACAGAAAAATAAACTAAAACGTAGATTATAAAGGGCAGAAAAATGACGAAATAAAGTTCAACTTCACAGTCCCTCTTATTAAGTGCTCAACCATGGGCACAGAGACCAGAAATATTTGGGCATGTAGAAATTATTTGATTTCAAAAATAGTTCCACTTACCTTTGAGACCCATGATACTCCTGCTTGATACTGGCACTGAGTTACTTGCTGGCACTGTTTAAAACAAAATGTTTTAGGTCATTGTCGCTGTTCACATATTTTACTGAAAATCTCACACTCAACAGGACCTAATCCATTAATAACAGAAAGAGAAATTGCTGGAGAAACTCAGCAGGTCCAGCAGAGAGAGAAACACAGTTAACGCTTCAAGTCCAGTTCTGATGAAGGGTCACTGAACCTGAAACGTTAACTCTGCTCTCTCCCTCCACTGGAGCTGCCAGACCTGCTGAGTTCCTCCAGAAGTTTGTGTTCTTGTTTCTGATTTCCAACATCTACAGTTCCTTGCATTTTTTTTTGGCCAACCCACAAAAAGGTCATTGTTACACTTTCTCACCCACACGGGACATTATAAATTTGCTGGCTTTAATAGTTTCTCTGTCGACAGTCACACTACAGCTCTTGGTTGGTTTGCTGAGCTGACTGGTTTTCATGCAAATATTTTGTCTCCCTGCTACATGACACCTTCACTGTTGTCTAGCCTCTTTTGAAATGTAGTTGTTTTGTTCAGTTCTGAATTTATATGGTCGAGTCTGTCATGGTGGATAGTAACTACCCCAGCGTCCACAAACATAGCAGTGTTTAAATGAGCAATAACACACTGCAACAGCCCAGAGCTACACAAAAACTAAAGTGGACCACCTGTACAGAGTCTTTGCAAACAAAGGGTATCCCTCTGATGCTGCTTGGCCTGCTGTGTTCATCCAGCTCTACACCTTGTTATCTCAGCTTCATTCACTGATGTCTGGCAAACAAACAACACCAAAACGACACTGTACACCCCAACACTCTGGCCACCCTACCCTGTTAGAAACATATCGGAACTGACTCCAAGACTCCTACAAACTTTCGGAATAATGATAGCACACAAACCAACAGCTACAAAAACAGAAATTGCTGGAAAAGCTCAGCAGGTCCAGCAGCATCTGTGAAGTAATAAAACAGAGTTAATGTTTCGGGTCCGGAGGCCCTTCCTCAGAACTGATGGCGGCCGGGGAAACGTCAGTTTATATACAGAAAATAGGGAGGTGGGTGGGGTAGGGATAAACGATAGGATAGAGCCCAAAGAGAGAGAGAGACAGTTGGACAGACAAAGGAGTTGCTAACGATCAGGCTGGGAGGGTGAATCGTTGTTAATGGGGACTGTTAGTGACTAACAACAGGGGGTATGTAGTGGCAGGCTATGTGGTAACAAGGCCTGGTGTGTGGGGTGGGTGACTGGGATATGGGAGAGTTTAGGTCCTAAAATTATTGAACTCAATATTGAGTCCGGAGGGCTGTAGGGTCCCCAAGCGGAAAATGAGGTGTTGTTCTTCCAGCTTGCGTTGGGCTTTGCTGGAACACTGTAGCAAACCAGAGACAGAGATGTTGGCCAGGGAGCAGGGTGGTGCGTTAAACTGGCAGGCAACTGGAAGCTCAGAGTCTTTTATGCGAGCAGAACGTAAACGTTCTACAAAGCGGTCGCCAAGTCTACGCTTCGTTTCCCCAATGTAAAGGAGACCACATTGTGAGCAGCGAATACAGTAGACCAGATTCTGGGAAGTGTAGGTGAAGTGCACTATGCCAACTACTCTCAAACACCAAAGACCCCATACCCACAAGGAGCAGGACAAATGTGATAAGTCACAGATACAGTTGCTGGGTTTGGCAACTAGGGGGTCTGGAAAAGTTTTAACTATTGACAATAATCCTGTTACTTTCTTGACAAATACATGGACAAGTATTTTCATTGAGATTCAGTGATGTTACCATCGCTAAACACCCCATGTTCAACATCCTGGGGGTTAACACTGACCAGAAACTCAGCTGGACTCACCACATAAACACAGCGGCTACAGGAGCAGGTCAGAGGCTGGGAATCCTGCAGCGAGTAACTCCCCTCCTGTCTCCCCAAAGCCTGTCCCACCATCGACAAGGCACAAGTCAGGAGTGGGATGGAATACTCTCCACTTGCCCTGGATGGGGGCAGCTCCAACAACACTCAAGAAGCTCAACACCATCCAGGACAAAGCAGCTCCCGCTTGGCTGGCACCACATCCACAAACATCCCACTCCCTCCACCCCCGACGCTCAGTCGCAGCAGTGTGTACCATCTAAAAGATGCACAGCAGAAACTCACCAAAGATCGTCAGACAGCATCTTCCAAACCCACCACCCATTTCCATCTAGAAGGACAAGGGGCAGCAGATACATGGGAGCACCACCCCCTGCAAGTTCCCCTCTGAGCCACTCCCCATCCCGACTTCGAAACGTATCGCCGTTCCTTCAGTATCGCTGGGTCAAAATCCTGGAATTCCCCCGCTATGGGACATTGTGGGTCAACCCTACAGCACATAGACTGCAGCGGTTCAAGGAGGCAGCTCACCCTCACCTTCTCAAGGGGCAATTAGGGATGGGCAATAAATGTAGGGCCCAGCCAGAGACACCCACATCCCACAAATGAATAAATACATGTAAAACGCACAGTCAACAAAAACTTGGAACAAAAACAGAAGTTGCTGAAAAAGCTCAGCAGGTCTGGCAGCATCTGTGAAGAAAAATCAGTTAACGTTTCAGGTCCGGTGACCCTTCCTCAGAACTGATGGTGGCTGGGAAAGCGTCAGTTTATATGCAGAAAATAGGGAGATGGGTGGGGTAGGGAGTAAACGATAGGATAGAGCCCAAAGAGAGAGAGAGAGAGAGAGAGACAGTTGGACAGATGAAGGAGTTGCTAACGATCAGGCTGGGAGGGTGAGCAGTTGTTAATGGGGACTGTTAGTGACTAACAGGGGGTGTGTAGTGGCAGGCTATGTGGTAACAAGGCCCGATGTGTGGGCTGGGGGGCTGGGACATGGGAGAGTTTAGGCACTAAAATTATTGAACTCAATATTGAGTCCGGAGGGCTACAGGGTCCCCAAGTGGACCCAAAACGTTAACTCTGATTTCTCTTCACAGATGCTGCCAGACCTGCTGAACTTCTCCAGCAATTTCTGTTCTTGTTCCTGATTTACAACATCTGCAGTTCCTTCGGTTTTGCAACAAAAACTTGCATTGATATAGCACATTCATGATCTCTGAGCACACCAATGGGCTTCATAGCCAAGAAAGTATCTTCGAAGTGAGAGATATCTGCAAAAATGTAGGAAACAGTGCAGTGATCATGGTTGACCTGATTTTGACCTTGACTCTACACTCCTGCACATTCCCCGGTAATCTTTCATCCACGTGATCATCATGAATCCAGCTGCCTTCTGCCTTAAAAATATTTAAAGATTTAACATCCACTGCCCTTTGAGGAAGAGAATTCCAGAGACTGTTTCTCTCGGAGAGTTCAATGGTTCCTCATCAGTGTTTTTTTTTAAAAAACTGACGGTGGCTCAGTGGTTAGCACTGCAGCCTCACAGCGCCAGGGACCCGGGTTCGATTCCACCTTCGGCCAACTGTCTGTGTGGAGTTTGCCCGTTCTCCCTGTGTCTGCATGGGTTTTCTCCCACAGTCCCAAAGGTGTGCAGGTTAGGGTGGACTGGCCATGGGAAATTGCCCCATAGTGTTCAGGGAGGTGTACCTTAGGTGGGTTATATGGGGATGGGTCTGGGTGGGGTGCTCCAAGGGTTGGTGTGGACTTGTTGGCCCAGAGGGCCTGTTTCCACACTGTAGGGATTATATTCTATGTGCCACCTCATATTTTCAAAATAGGGGGAAGTCAGACCCATCCTTGAGAGGAGCAGGCTCCAAGGGGTGAATCGCCAACTCCTGGTCTGAGATCTCACATTCCTATAATCTCTCCAAGGTGCTGCCTTTTGGAATACCGTGTGCAATTCTGGTCTCCCTGCTACATGAAGGATGTTGTGAAAGGTTTCAGAAAAAATTAACAAGGGTGTTGCCAGGGTTGGAGAGTTTGAGCTATAGGGAGAAGCTGAATAGGCTGGGGCTATTTTCGCTGGAGCGTCGGAGGCTGAGGGGTGACCTTACGAGGTGTGAATACCAGGAACGTACTCGATCTCGAGCTTTCTCTTGCGTTCTCCTGCAGCACCCGGGGGTGTCAGTTCGCTCAGTTGGCTGGGTGGTTGGTTTACAAAGCAGAGTGAGACTGAGTTCTGGGGAAGGGACACTCGGCCCAAGACGTTAACTCTGATTTCTCTCCGCAGATGCTGCCAGATCCTGCTGAGGTTTTTCGAGCAATTTCTGCTCATGACGCCCAACAGCGTGGATTCAAATCCCACACCTGCTGAGGTTTCTCTCCTTCTCAACTTCTCCCCTCGCCCGAGGTGTAGGGACCCTCAGGTTAAAGCACCAGCAGTCGTCTCTCTCCCTCTCAGTGTAATGACCATTGGTCTGGTACTATTGTGGCGACTTTCCCTTTACCTGCGGCACTCACCTGTGATCCCACGGCAATGCTTCAAGCAATCCAGCTCACTCTGAAAGTTGTTGCCATTCGGTAAGCAGCCCCCGTAAGTGAACACCTTGCATGTCTTGGAGGAAACATCGTAAAACCACCTCCGAAACCATGCACGACACGGGCCGGTCTTAGACGGACTGAGACAATCCACTGCAAGGAAACAAAAAGTCACGTCAGGTTGGAGCTAATCGCTGGGGCATGACCTTCATTAACTTCAGTGCAGTGCATGCCGCTGCATTGCGTATGGTAGTTGGGAGGGTCATGTTGCGGCTGTACAGGACATTGGTTAGGGCCACTTTTGGAATACTGTGTGCAATTGTGGTCTCCCTGTTATAGGAAGGATGTTGTGAATCTTGAAAGGGTTCAGAAAAGATTTACAAGGATGTTGCCAGGGTTGGAGGGTTTGAGCTACAGGGAGAGGCTGAATAGGCTGGAGCTATTTTCCCTGGAGCGTCGGAGGCTGAGGGGTCACCTTATAGAGGTTTATAAAATCATGAGAGACATGGATAGGGTGAATAGTCAAGGTCTTTTCCTCCAGGGTAAGGGAGTCCAAAACTAGAGGGGCATAGGTTTAAGGTGAGAGGGGAAAGATTTAAAAGGGACCTAAGGGGCAACTTTTTCACACAGAGGGTGGTGCGTGTATGGAATGAGCTGCCAGAGGAAGTGGTGGAGGCTGGTACAATTACAACATTTAAAAGGCATCTGGATGGGTATATGAATAGGAAGGGTTTAGAGGGATATGGGCCAAATGCTGGCAAATGGGACTAGATTAATTTAGGATATCTGGTCAGCATGGACAGGTTGGACCAAAGGGTCTGTTTCTGTGCTGCACAGCTCTGTGACTGCAAAGTCTTAAAATTAAAAGCAGAGCATTAAAACAAAAAGTCCGAGACATCTGGCCCATGACAGTGGGTACCGAAGGGTGTGGGGTGCTGCTGGTCACTCACTGACACTGATGGCACATGCCACATTTCTGAACGTTTGCACAGGACACCGTGAAACTTGCGAGGATCCTACTGCCACTCAGGGACGGCTCTTCACCCCGGATCAGGCCGCATTGCAGAGATGCGATCCACACAATCCAGTCTGGTATTCCCAGCGTGGCATCAAGGAGGTGCTACACTGTCAGAGGTACCCCCTTTCAGACAAGATCCAAACCCAAGGCGTTCCCTGGGGCAGAGGGGGAGGTTCCCAAGCCCCCATTTCAACGAACAATGTCTCCCCAAGGTCCTGCTTCTACCTCGTTCAATGTCAAAGAAAAGATTCTCTGGGTCGTTTTCACAAATGCTGCATATAGGAGATGACTGTGCACAAATTGGCTGCTACATATCCTCATTACACAGTGTCATAGAGCAGGAGGAGGCCATTCAGCCCCTCTGTCTCTGCAATGGCTCTATGAACAAGCATCAGGACCCAGTGCCAATCTCCCACTTTCTCGCCCTCCTCCAAACCCGCCCAAGTTCATTTTATCAAAATAATCATCCAAAGCTCTCTTGCAGTATATAAGAGTAAGAGGGTGGTTAAAAAGGAGGATAGCCCAACAGCATTGAAAAGAGGGATTTACACAGAGATAGGACTCTCCCTCAGCACCACTCTCCCTCGGTCTCGCACTCCCCCAGCCCCGCACTGTGACTGTCAGTCAAGGACTTTGTGCTAAGGGGAAGCGACGGCCTTATCATTGGACAGTTAATCCAGAGACACAGGTAATGTTCTGGGGAAACTGGGTTCAAATCCCACCACAGCCAATAGTGGAATTTGAATTCAATAATAAAAAAAAATCTGGAATTAACAGTCTAATGACAACCATGAAACCATTGCCAATTTCATCTGGGCTCACATCAGGGAAAGCGCTCTGCTGTCCTTACCTAGTCTGGCCTACATGTGACTCCAGACCCACAGCAATAAAAAAAAAATCTCTGGTCTGGGACTTGAACCCACAACCTTGTGACTCTGAGAGACAAGAATGCTGACACTCACACACACAGGGCTAACTCGAGGTCACAGTAATTCCTCATCCCATTGACAGACCAGTTAAATCAGATGCAGGCTCGGAGTCTGCTACAGAGAACACAGGGACCCTCGTTTCAAACAATCACGGGTTCCAGAGACAACCAGGGGGCCGGGAGCAGTGGGAGGAGAGAGCATTCTGTGATAGTGGATATAAACGACATTGAAGACGATCAGCTGTGACCTTATTGAATAACAGAGCAAGTTCAACGGGCCGAATGGCCTCCTCCTGTTCCTGTTTCCCTATGACCAGTTGCTCTGGTGAAAGGCCAGCGACTGGAAACGATACGGTGCTTCCCTCCAAAGACATTGCCTGACCTGCGGAGCTCTCCTCTGATGGCTCCTAATTCCAGATTTTCAGCATCGTATCATTACAACTTTAACGAGCGCATGGAAACTCAAGAGAGCTTTTTAAAAACCACGACAGCTTCGAAAGAACAAATCACAATAAAACAGTCTCCGTTAGCTGAAGGGCCATTCATCAAAGGGGAAAGATGTACAACAATTGATGAAAGAACTGGACACAAAGAGATGGGGAAAAAACTTTGCCTTTTACACAAAGTGTAGCCAGGAAAGAGCAGCAGGAACAGATTGGGTTTGTAGTCTGCTACAGGTTACACTACACGACATATGGAGATAATCAGGCTCTTGTGAGACAGATATCTCAAAGTTTATTTACAACACTAACTATGATATAGTAGCCTTAGATGCACAGGCTGAGTTTTGTGCCTTATTGTACATTATGCACCTATGACCCACTGACTACACACAGTGTCTAAAACCTGGAGAGGGTTCGGAAGAGATTTACCAGGATGTTTCCAGGAATGGAGGGTTTGAGTTACAAGGAGAGGCTGGGACCATTTTGTTTTTCCACTGGAGCACAGGAGGTTGAGGGATGGCCTTACAGAGGTTTATAAAATAATGAGGGATATAGATAAGGTGAATGGCAGGTGTCTTTTCCCTAGGGTGGGGGATTTCAAGGCTGGGAGGGCATATGTTTAAGGCGAGAGGAGAAAGATTTAAAAAGGGCATGAGGGGCAACTTTTTTCTAAAAAAATACACAGAGGATGGCTCGTGTATGGAATGAACTGCCAGAGGAAGAGGTGGATGGGAGTACAGTTACAACATTTAAAAGACATTTGGGTAAGTGCACAAATGAGAAAGGTTTGGAGGGATATGCGCCAGGAGCAGGCAGGTGGGACAAGTTTAGTTTGGGAACACATCAGCATGGACTGGTTTGACTGAAGGGTCTGTTTCCGTGCTGTGTGACTCTATAACCTTGAAAATAGGAGTAGGCCATTCAGCCCTTCAAGCTTGCTCTGCTATTCAACAGTCCAGATCATGGCTGATCAATATCTTGTTCCCACTTTCTCCCCATATCCTTTGATTCTTTCAGCTGTAAGAATTATATTTAACTCATTCTTGGAAGCATTCAATGTTTTGGCCTGAACCCCTTTCTGTGGCAGAGAATTCCGTAGGCTCCCCACTCTCTGGGTGAAATCATTTGTCCTCATCTCAGTCCTAAATAGCCCACCCTGTATCCCGAAACTGTGACCCCTGGTTCTGGACTCCCCAGTGCTTAGGGAACATCCTTCCAGCATTTAACCCTATCCAAGCCTGTCAGAATTCTATATGTTTCTTTGAGATCCTACCCCTTATTCTTCTAAATTCCAGTGAATATATTCCTAGCTGATTGAGTGGTTCAGTGGTTAGCACAGCTGCCTCACAGCGCCAGGGACCTGGGTTCGATTCCACCCTCAGACGACTGTCTGTGTGGAGTTTGCACATTCTCCCCGTGTCTGCGTGGGTTTCCTCCGGGTGCTCCGGTTTCCTCCCACAGTCCAAAGATGTGCAGGTTAGGGTGGATTGGCCATGCTAAATTGTCCAGGAATGTTTAGATCAGGTGGTTAGACATGGGGAAATGCAGGGGGGGTAGGGGAATGAGTGGGATGCTCTTCAGAGGGGTGGTGTGGACTTGTTGGGCCGAATGGCCTGCTTCCACACTGTAGGGATTCTATGATTCAAATATCATGTGTTGGAATGTCTTAAAAAGATGATTGGTCTGGAACATAAAGCATCAAAAAGGAAAGGAAGTGCAGGAATACAGAGGAAGAGTCAGGGGGTGCGACCAACTGGATTGTTTCTTGGTAGAGTCAGCAGTAAAACCAATGAATCAAATGGCCTCATCCCACGTTGAGCCAGGACGTGGGTCTTGTGATGAGACTGCAATTACGAGAATCCACACGTTTCACCTCCTAAACTACCCGAGACATGTGACTAAAGAGAACACCATGGAGCAGTTAAAAGGGCAGGGAAGATCCAGAGGGTCAAAAAGGTGTGGTAACCCTATCAAAACCCTCACCCTATCACAAGGTATTGGCTACTAAATCAGTGACAATAAGACAAAAGACAGAAAGCAAAAAACTGAGCTCTAGGAAAGCATTTAAAAAAAAGTCAAATTGGAGCAGCGAGCCCTCCCTAGTCTCAAATTGTTTCCTTTGGCTCCACCCTAACCCTCTCTGAGGATAAACCATTCCCCACCCTGGGCTCTCCCAACAGCAAGTGTTTGCTGCAATCAGACAGTTTTTATAACTAACCGCCCCTCCCAGCTTGGACTGCATTCCAGTTTGTTTTTGTTTTCTAATCATAGACCTGTTCCAAAATGTTGTGACACACCTCTGGGGCAGGTGGGACTTGAACCTGCGTCCTCCTGGCTCAGGGGGTGGGGCACTGTCACTGCTCTCCCACATTTACTGCCCCCCATTTCAGAGTCTGCTGTCCCTCCAGTGGCTCTGATATTCGCAGGTTCAGCATTTTGCAATTGCCTTAAAGTCCTATCGTTAAACCCCTCTTATTGTCCTGTAAATATAATCACAGAATCCCTACTGTGTGGAAGCAGGCCATTCGGCCCATTGAATCCATACCAACCCACCGAAGGGTATCCCACCCAGACCCAGCCCCCTACCCTATCCCTGTAACCCTGCATTTCCTATGCATTCAGCGATGTAGGGATCGTCATGACAGAAGACCTTATACAGTATGAGTTCCCTGATTGGACCAGTTAATAGCCCCAATCAGGGAGCCCTGGCTGACAGGTACAAACAGGAGTGTCAGGGGTTGTGTTCACTCTGAGAGCTGGATCAGTGACAAGGATTCTCCACATGTAAATAAAGGGTGACTCAGTGACAGGATACCGGTCTCTGTAGAGTTGTTTCACAGCAATATTAACTTGTTTGTGGACTGCTGCAACTAGAGTATGTTTTCAAATGTTGTTGTTGCAATCCCAGCTCCACTCAATGAGGGTTAATATGGTCTGGCTTTGGTTGGACAGACAGGAGATTGAAATCATCATCAAGGTTAGTCTGTCCAGAGGAAACAATACACTGTTTCCCCTCAGCTCAGCTCCTGCTACCGGCCACTGACACGGGTGAGTAACTACAGATTTACAGGACTGGCAGGGGCCATTCGGCCCATTGCACCCATACCAGCAAAAATCGACTGCCATGTCCCAGCTCCGTGGGTGTGGAGATTACTAGCTCAGATCCAAGACTATGTCAGACCCAGTTACAACGTTGGTCTCCTGCCCCTTTGTAGGCTGCGAACTCCAGACTCCCACTCAACCCTCAGGAGGTTAAAACCTCTCTCTTCACATCCACCATGTGTTGTAACTTCCCAACCCCCACATCCACTAGTTAATCACTAGGAGAATATTGAGATGGTAAGAAGGACAGTCAACGGGGCAGAGGGAGTGCAGGGTGACGGGAGAGGGGTAACAATGCAATGGGAGAGGGTGATGGGGCACAGGGGGAAGACTGTGGGGGTGACGGGGCTTGGGGGTGGAAAGTGCAGGGGGGGACAGGACGGGACGGGGGGGTAAGAGTGTGGGGGCTGATGAGAGGCGGGGGAAGACAGTTGGGGGAAGAAAAGGGAAGAAGTGGACTTTGGGGAGTGACGGGACAGGGGTTGGTGAGGAGACAGCTCAAGAGAAAGAAAAACAAGCAGTTTGCTTCACTGAAAAACAACTACACTGAATGGTAGGGTCCTGGGGGGTGCTGCTGAGCAAAGAGACCAGGGAGTGCAGGTTCACAGTTTCTAAAAAGTGGAGTTACAGTTGGACAGGACAGAGAAGAAGGCATTTGGTACGCTTGCCTTTATTGGTCAGTGCATTGAGTATAGCAGACAACAAGGTGCAGGGCTGGATGAACACAGCAGGCCAAGCAG